TATATATATATATATATATATATATATATATAGAGAGAGAGAGAGAGAGAGAGAGAGAGAGAGATAGGTTCAAGTATTCTAACTAATTATTGTGCGGATGTGTGGACATGTTATTCTATGAGAATTACTAAGAAGATAAGTTGTTTAGCAATGCGAATACGTTCAACCTTACAAAAATATCGTCACTTTCATGTATTCTCGCTAATTATTATTTATTTTTGTTCTCACACATTGTTTTTCACTCATTTTAATTNATATATATATATATATATATATATATATATATATATATATATATATATATATATATATACACGCGCGCGCGAACGGTGAGATCACTAAGTATTTTTAGATTTTAGGATCAAAATCTTAACCATTAGGTTAAGAGTGATGTCCCTTAGTAAATTAGAAGCGTATACTTCGGATTTAACATAAACCAATACGTTTATTTGTTTTTTGTTTTTTTAATTTTCTTGCTTACTTTTTATATAAGAAACTAAAAATTAAAAAATTCATAATTTTTTTCCTCTATAAATAGAAGTCTATATTGATATAATTTTATCTTATTTTATTTTACAAATCTATATTGGTGATGTACACATATGCACATTTGTGNNNTATATATATATATATATATATATATATATATATATATATATATATATATATATATATAAAGAGAGAGAGGAAGTTCATTTAACAAAGAAAAAAAGGTTGGCAACGCGAGAATAAATATGGGCCACCAATTTTTCATTGTCGTTGAAGCATACCGTCGTAATGGGGGAGCTAATATTCATATATGAATATATACAGGACCACCACCACCCTTTTCTTCCCCATCTCCATAACCGACACCCTTATTTCTGCCACCAATCGCCACCATCACTGCCACCTCTACCACAACTCTCTTCACCACCGAGAGAACCTTTGTCACCAACCACTTTAGTCATATATGAACAATTGCTTATGAATATACAATATATGAATAATAGTTAAGAATAAATCATATTTGAATAAATTCTGTATGAATAATGATTTGTGAGATACCACACAATATCAATATATAATTATACTTAATTTAATATTCACTTATGAATATTTCCTAGCCTCACAAGTATGTTGGAGCTTAAGCGGTAGATAATGAAATTTGTGATCCATATTCATTCTTTCATTGTCAATTTTTTTTTATTCTTATTTGAACGTCTCTCTTTATACATCTACTCTAATAAATAATTTTTTTTTCACATGTCATGTTGTCATTCATTTTGCCACATATCATTTTTTTGTTATTTTAAATTAACTTTTTTCCTGTGGAATTTATGGTTTTTTTTTCCATTTGTTTAAGGGAACTGAGTAATATAACCCATATAAACAAGTATTTTAATAATAATAACCGCCTAAAATAAAATATTTGTGGAAAAGATAGCGGGATGATAGTAATTAGGATAGATTTACACCTAAAAATAAAATATATATATATATATATATATATATATATATATATATATATATATATTCAGCGGGATGATAGTAATTAGGATAGATTTACACCTAAAAATAAAATATGATCACCGGCTTAGCTATACATCATGTGTTAGAGAAAAAGATAGCTTATTGTCGGTACTTAATTAATAACCTTCCTTAACCTTTTCAATTGCTTTATATATAGGAAATGAAGACGCCTACAACAAAATTTGTGTTCCTCTCTATAATGCATCAATGAGATGTGACTGGGAAGCTGCTAGTGTCATCCTTGGTGAACACCAAGGCCTAGATCTGTTGGGGTTTGCCATCACTGAAAATTATGATACTGCGCTTCACATTGCATCATCTGCAAAAAGCAGCAGGTTAATGGAAATGTTTGTGGAAAAGCTAGTAAATAAGATGACAAAGGAACAATTAGAGCTCCAGAACAAATGTTATTACACCGCACTGTGCTTAGCAGCAGCAGATAGCGCAGGAAATGTGAATATTGCCATGACTATGGTGGAGAAGAATAGGGCGCTATTAGATATCCCTGCTCGTGAAGGATTGATGCCACTTTCCATTGCTTCGAGATCAGGACAACGTAATATGGTACAACTTTTCTATGATAATTCTAACAAGATGACTGGTGACTTTTGGACAGATCAGAACCGTAGTCAGGTTCTCCACAACTGTGTAGAAGTCGATCTCTTTGGTAAGTATTTATACATTTCTTTCGATATAAATTTTTTCAGAACGACGAGTTAGTAGGTGCATGGGATTGAACCCATGACCTCCTTGTTACAATCACCTTGTTAGACACCATGTTAACCAAATGGGCTAGTCCCAACTTATTTTCAACATAAATGCCGTTAAAATGTAGTTACACAGTGATACTAAATATTTTCTTTGAATCCTCATTTCTGAATTATCAACATTATATAAGAAGTGTATTGAGTGGGCTTTGGGGCAATAATGGTAGCGCCAATAATAACAATGAGAATTACGATAATAATTAACATACCTAACATCTCCTGACTGTTTGAATGAGAGGGTATGTCCGAACATTTAATATAGACTGAAACTCATTAAATAAAGATGAAGGAAGACTCTTAGTGAAGTTGTTCGCATATTGAGAAGATGAGGGACATGATGCACCCATAGTTGATCCATCGTGACTTTGTCACGAACGAAATGGATCTCAATGTCAAAATGTTTGGTTTGTTAATGACAAACTAGATTGGAAGAAAGATAAACCACACTTATATATCACAATAAGCAATCGTGGTAGTAAGAATTAGTTGGTGTAGCTCCTGGAGAAGATTGCAAATCCAATATGTATTGGTGAAAACATTAGCCACTCTATAGCACTCTGCTTTATTAACCCGAAATTCCCAATGTACAACATAAGATATGCAGTATAGACAAATAAAGAGGAGTCCCAACGACTATGTATGAAACTGAGGTTGATAGAGAGATCTCTAAAGAATAAAAACATAATTATGAAAAGAAGAATCCTTAAATCCATTCGGTTGATGCATATAGACAGTCTTTTGAAGACGACCGTGAAGAAAAGGTATTTTTTAACATCAAGTTGGCGAATAAGCCAACTATGAGATACTACGTGGACAAGTATAATTTGTATGGTGGAAGGTTTGACTACCGTACTCAACGTCTTGTAACAATCAAGTACTAGGCCTTTAACAACAACCATTGGCGGCTATGTGAGCATTGTAACGAGACAGAGACCCGTCAACATTGTGTTTATTTTTAAAAATCCATATAAAATTAATAATATTTGCATCTTTGGGATGGGGAACCAGAATCCAAGTGTTGTTAGAAAGAAATGCATCATGTTCTTTCATTACGTTTTTCCATTTAGAATCATTGAAAGCCTAAGATTAATTTCGGGGAATCAGAGATGTAGAATCCACATGAAGATTGAGTTTTTGTATCGTTTTAGAGAAGCTAACACGAGATTAAATGGCCATAGCCTAAAGATACGAGTTTGGAGGGAAGACATCAGGAGTGGGAGCCAATGTAGGGTTTCTAAAACAAGATAACTTCGATTAGGAGTTGTTGAGGCAATATTATCGGATGAGGTTGTCTCAGACAAGAAGGTTATTGCTAAAGTGGCAGCGGTGGCGGTTGTTAGTTTTGGTGTGGAGGTAATATTGGTGAGGTCTTGAGGAGATGGATTTCCAAGGAATGTTTGAGATATGGTGTTTGGTTCATAAAGTGGTTCAAGGAAATCATATGAAGATGATTTCATTGGTGTCATGGAGCCGAAGGGAAAGATAGACTCATCAAATGTAACATGCCTGGATACAATTATTTTATTTTAGATATGCTTTAAACATTGATATCCTCTATGATGTGGAGGATACCCAATACAGTTGCAAGGGGTGGTCCGAGGGTTAAGTTTATGGGAAATTGTGAGATAAAGATAACAAAGACTAAACCTGATATGGATGGCCATGTAAAGAGCCTCGACCCAACAGGTGGGGGGAAAACAGACATGGAAGAGTATAATATGAATGGTATTTTTGATGATACAAACCATACTTTGGATTTTCCATTTTTTGAGGTGTATACAAACAAGAGCCATGGATGTGAATGCCATTTGAATCACAAAGTTGATAAAAATTGGGCATTGTCATATACTCCACCATTATCACATTGAAACATTGGTGTTTTAGTTTGGAATTGAATGTGGACATAGGAACGAAAGGTATAAATTTAGAAAATACTTCATATTTGAATCATATAGGATTAACTCAAAGAAAATGTGGGATTTGGTTAAGAAAAAGAGCATAATATTCAAAATGTATGCACTAAAAATGAATAGAAGCAACAAAATTAGATAATTGAAATGGTAATCTAGTATGTTTTCCAAGTTGGAAAGCATTGCACAAATTTGAGGATTTTTTGTTCGTATAAGGAATAAAATTATGAGAAATTGAATATTGAAAGACTTGATGACTAGGATGACCAAGACAATGGTTCCATGTAGATGGGGTAACAGAGAGAAACGCTTAAGGAAACAAGTTTGTGATTGAATATAAATCACCCATCCTATAAAATTTGAGGTGTTAGGTAGTCCTTCATAGACAAAATAAATTCAATAAAACATTTTTTGTCATGAGTGAAACAAAGAATATAAATTGGACTTTTAATGATATTTGGAGTAATAGGGATATGACTAATAAACAAAGTTTAGTAAGGGTTAGAGCTAGCAAGAATTGTCACCAATCTTACTAAACAAAATCATAGATCCATTACAAACTAATAGAGAAGACGATAAGCAAAGAACGTGAGTAGAGGTTACAATACCTGCATCAGCATGTAAATGAGATGTTGCTCAAGAAACCATATATCAACCACCATTGTTAGGCTCGTTTAGCAACATAGTATTAAACATTTAAGGAAAATATGTCATTTACTCAAAATAATTTTGAGTCGATCCATTGAGCCAGATCAATAGAGGATGGGCCTGAGATTGGGCCACAACAAAATATTGTCCATATCAAACCCGCAGATGTCGATGGATGACATGTTATTAGGCCAGTTGTTGGCAGACCAGCTGGAGTTGGGTTATGTGGCTGAAGGCTCTCTTTAGTGGTTACGATAGTGGGCGGAAGTGACAGTAGCATGTTATGCTGTTGAGACGAACCAGAGAAGGATGAAGTAGGCCCATTTGTCCAAAATATGGGTAAGCTAATTGAACCACCCATCGCCCGACCTATTTGAAAATAGCTTATCAATTTCAAAACTTGAAGTTTTTAAACATTAACATCATTTTATTTTATGGAATTTGGTCCCAAAACAACAACCACAAGTTTAGATATTCAAATTAATATAGTTTGTGGAAAACGTAACTAACATTTAAAACATTAAATTTTAACAAAGTGTGAGCTTGTCTCGGTTCGAACATCAAAGCTATAGTATAACTACATTACCAAAATAGGTCTTCAATATGTCCAGACATCTCATTGTTCACTTAACCAAGATACATGTAAAACATATAATGTTAGGGTGGGGAACCTAGTTAGTTAATCCTCAAGTCAACCTTTCATGGAAAACAAGGATAAGTCAACTATCCAATTTTCTTAGGTTAGGCTTCCAAAACAATTTTAAATCATAAAGTTTCCCACTTTGGGGATAATAACTCACCTTTAATAAACATGGTTTATAAAATTATAAAAATATACCAAAAATTCCCATTATGTGATAATCCTTTTTCAAAACTAATAACCATACATAAAAGTCTCATTTTGAGAAATCAAGTTTCGAAGTTGGAAAGAAAGAACTTTATAAAATTAACCCAAAGGTAATCAAAGTTACAAAAAAGTCAAATATTCAAAAGTCTGCATAAAAGTATTAGTATTTTGATTAAGAATTTCTCAACAACTTAAAATTAACAAGATCGTATATATCAAAAAGATTCAATAAAAGGTAATTTTACCTTAGATAAACATTTCTCTATATTTCAACTCCAAAAGGATCATATAGATCAATACAACACTCATTCCAATTCAAAATATCAACTTAACACAAGCAATTAACATACAAACACCACAAAATCCAAATAGAATATTAGTTTTAAATATGCCAAACAATTGCTTCTAAAATTCCAACACAAGTCAATCTCAATTCAAAACCTTTACACATACATTATATCCAAACACCACAAGTTAGATGGTAAATTTCTCTATAAGAGGCATTGCAACTAGTAAAAGGATCCCATTACTGTGGTTCCACACATAAGGTAACTAGTCGAGTGCACAGGTGATTCATGCCTAGAATACCATCACATCACCACAACCCCACAAGTAGGGCCCTAAACACCACATGTCTCTTAAGTGAAAACGTCATCCTCAATATGTGCATAAAGAAATGGGTAGAAAAAATAGACAGAAACACCACAAGGCTTCAAAGCATACTCCTTTCAAACTCAATTCAAATAATATATTATGAAATGCAAACAATCTCAAATAATCATGTAGCATGAAGGCATACTTGTCTCCACAAAACCACCAACACCAATTCAAAGATCATACATATATCATATAGCATAGAAAGCCTGTGAAGATCATATAGAGAATAAATATACTATAGAACATATTTAATTCATGAAAATATATAGAATCATGTAAAATTAAAATAACAT